TGAGAGGACCCACCAGAGACAGAGTGGGGAGCAGAACAGGCAGATGGACGAAGTACACTGCTGAGGGGAGCAGCGGGCCGGTCAGGAGAGGTCTGCCGCGCCATGTGGGTCACCTCCGGGGCGGGGATCGAATTCATGCTGAAGCAGCTTTTGGTTTCTTAGTGTTGTGCTTTAACCCGCTACGTCACCAGAGAGGGCCTAGACTTTCGATCTTTAAGACTGATCACAAATTGTTTCTCTCTCAAGCCACTTGTAATTCAACATAGCTGCTATGTGGCCCCTGAGTCTGAGCACAAGCAATGCACAGGCTTGAATATCTGTTTCCTAATTAATGCTCAGGAACCCCTTTCCTTCTGTTACAGGACCACCTATGGATTTTAACCCTATTTTGTTCTGTGTAATTGGTGTCAAGTCTCTTAATTTCCAGGTAGTTACCCCAACATGTAGCATAGACCCATCCTCACAATACAGGGGGCTCTCAAGAAATAGCTATAGAAGGAAAAAAAAAAAAAAACTCTTATCCCAGTCTTCCCGCTGACATATCCCAAGATGGTGGCCATTGTCTAATCTGACAATAGTTGTTCTTGCTGCTACATCTGATATCAAAGTGAATCTCAAATTGAGTAGAGCCAGTTAGTAATGACGTGCTGGATAGTGCAGTAGAAGAGAACCCCACCTTCATTTTGGGGGTGTGCGTTGTTGTCATTTGGTTGATTGGTTTTCTTAATCATGATGTTTGCATAGCTTATAGTCCATCTTCAGTAGTGTATGACACAGTAAATGTGAGCTCACTATGCCATATAGATATGTAAGGAAAACAGGAAGGAGTGAGCAAGAGGAGTAAGAACCTGGAATCTTAACCTATATGCAAGGTACTCACCAGGACCATAAATCTTGGCACAGAAAGAAAACAATTTAATTTTAGGGAAACTTACTGGGTAAATAAGTGACAGATTTAATTTCTGACTCTAATTCCCTGATCCTGTAGTCAGGCTGACGAAAAGTACATGTAGTCGTAGCCTCCACTGAAGAGGCTTCTCTGAGCCACAATGCTCTCTGTGTCACCCCATGAAGCAGCGGCCTCTCCAGATGCTATAGCTGGAATTACCAACAAGAACTGCTTCACAGGTGGTCCCCCAAAAGGTCACATGAGTTTTCACCAAGGTCGAACACTCGAGTTTCACAAATATGCCAGTACAGGCTTATAAGGAAGGAAGGTTCATTCTGTGCTTCAAATCCCAACTGTCTGCCTACAGGTCTGGCTGGCTTTGCTCGTCTCTGCCCAGGAGATCAGTATGAAGTAAGTATTGTATCCATCTGGGCTTGGAAATGAAGAAGGGCAGGGGTCAGTTGTCAGATTTTGCTTCTTTGATTTTTCTAGGGGGATGGGGGGACAGACATTTTTTATTTGAAAAGTTTAAAGCAATAAGAAAGTGCAGAAACTGGTACAACCTCTCATACACTTTTCATCTAGAAACCTGTTTTTTATATTATGCCAACTTTCCTTTCTTGTTAGAATTACTTTGCTGAACCACTTTAGAGTAATGGACTTTATGACCTTTATACAAAAAAAAAGTTCTAAACCTGGAAGTATGTTCTTGTTGGGAGTGACCAAGTGCAGAGATTTACTGAGGGACTGGACAAGGGCAGTAATAAATCAGGCCTTGCATCAAAGGTGATAAGACGGTAATAAATTGGGCCTTGCATCCAATTAACGGGGCCTTGCATCCAATTAACGGGGCCTTGCATCTGGGATGGGCAAGGTGAAGGTGACAGCGAACTGGGCCTCACATCAAGGACACAGTGATGAGTCACCCCTTTGGAATCTGAGTTTAGAATCTATATACGAGACCTTCCCCCCTTATTGAGTTGGCAGTAGCTGCGGACCCCACCCCAGGGGCTCCGTCTCAGCTGCTGTCCGGGAGCAATAAACTCTACTTGCTCAGCCTTTCTGCCTCCCGCCTTCTTTTCTTGAGGCTGGTCACAGAAGTTGGGACAAAACTGTTCTTTCCTATAAGCATTGTACAGTGCCTCTAGCAGCAAAGTTAACACTGGCACTTTCGCTATTTTCTTCTGACATCTGGCCAGTATTCACATTTTTCCAAGTGTTCTGATTTACACTGTTTCCAATTATTTTCCTGATCCAAGATTCAACCAGGATTGTGATTGCAAGAGTATCCTGCTCAGAGAATAATAGTATAGCTTTTTCTCTTTTTTCCCCGTCAGAAAGGAGCTAAAATCCTTTCATCTGGCGCTCTCCTTCAACATCCTCTATCACACCTCTCTTGGCAGGTGGGGTGAATGGAGGTAGTGCCTCCCCCTGTCTGACCAAGGAGAAAATGGACCCTCTCCTCCCAGAGTATCCACAGGTTTCTGAACCCTTGCCAAGATGGAGATTCCTCGTCCAGTGGAAGGATGTCTCAGAGCAGGTCTCCAACTGCTAAGTGGGATTTGGCTGATGACTTCTTGTCCCTCTCAGACAGCTGGGGAATGTGGACAATTCCTCCAGAGGCAGCACTAACAGGAAAAACAAATTGCTTGATCTGAGTGAGCAAAGGGACACATTGTGACAATCTCATGCTAAAGAAAGTCCTCGGCCCCTCTGTCTTAAAGAAGCAGAACTTCCTTTGAAAAGTCCCCACTCACCATCCACTACACACACACACACACACACACACACACACACACACAGAGGCAGGAAATTTGGAAGAACAGTTGAAGGGCTAGAGTGAGGTCGATGGAGAAGAGATGAGGTACCCTGTTTATTTTACTTGCCATTTTGATCTTAGGGTTTGGGTCAGGATGGTAGATGACAGAAGTGGAGCATGAGGGCTGTTTGGTGTTTTCTTCTCAGATTTTCATGAAGTATGGCCGGCAGAGGTGGAAACTAAAAGGCAAAATAGAAATGAATGGCAAACAGAGCTGGGATGGAGAGGAAATGGTGTTCCTGCCCCTGATCGTTGGATTGATTTCCATCAAGGTACAGCCTTTCATTGCTGTCTGTTCAGTTTCATGGTGCCATGTTGGAAGACCCACTGGCAGGGCCCACTGCCCATTAATCTCTGCCTGCTGTCCCTCTACCTGTGGGCATCCCTCTATGCTACAAGTCCATGGCAGAGACAGCTGCTCTAGTCTCAGAGACACAAAGTAAATGTAAGATGGGCTTTGAATACCTGCTGCTATTGCATTATGAGTCTGAAAGTAGTGATTGAACTGACCAAGAAAAACTCAGAAACTGGTCTACCTCTTCTCTGCTCTCCTGTAAGGCCTCTCCTCACCCACCCTCTCTCTCCTATTAGGTCACGGAGCTCAAAGGGCTGGCGTCTCACCTCCTGGTAGGCAGTGTGACCTGCGAGACCAAAGAGCTGTTTGCAGCCCGACCTCAGGTCGTGGCTGTTGACATCAATGACCTTGGCACCATCAAACTGAACCTGGAGATCACCTGGTAGTAAGTTGCCCTTTTCAATTTCATCAGGAAAAGTATGTGCAACAGCTGGTGCCATTCAAGGGTGGTGTGTGGCCCATCTATCACTGGGAAGACCCAGTGACAGCAGACCCTCTGGTCTCACCCCAAAATTCCTGTGTCAGAACCTGTGTGACAAGCTCACCAGGTGATGCTCTGACCTGCTACCATTGGAGAAATCATGCTTGTCACTGCTGTCCTCTTCTGCGTCCTATTTTGAAATATTTTATTCTACATCCTTTTCTACCTTTCAAGATCTATTAAATAGTAGTCCCCCATATCAACTATTTGGAAAGAAAACTGTCCAATATGAGACATTTCATCTTCAGAATGAATCTTGAGTATTGATGGGGTATTTTCATTGCTTCCTCTTTATCTTATATACCTCACACTGCTCTGGAAAATTTTGAGCACCTTAAGACCTCCACATTGTACTTATTGAAACTGAATATTCTAGGAAGGTTAGAGATGCCTTTTATCAAAGCAGTGAACTTAAAAGTGATTTTCCAAAGTCACTCTGTGAGAAAGGCCATTAGTCATTTTTTAAATTTGTTATTGAAGTGACATTGCAACATAACATGTAAGTTTCAGGTGTGCATCATTATAAATCAGCACCTGCACAGAATGGATTTTATTCACCAATGAAAGTCCAGTCCATTCACTCACCAGACAGTTGACCCTTTGGCCACCCATGATTAGTTATGAAATCTGGGCTGCTCACATTTGATATTATTCCCCTAATGTACTATCAGGTAAATATGTTGCGTAGTCATGGCCCAGGGCTCCTTTACAATATGGAAAGTCAGGTGTGAATGACTCTGTTGCCTTGTCTTTGAGATAGTGTCAGCACCTTTCAGCCTGCTTGTCCCCCATAATTTGGAGTCACTGATGTGTCAAACACAGGCTCATCCCCCTTGCTAGCTAAACCAGATGGTGCAATGCTAAGTAGAATCGTTGTGAACAGACCGTTCCTCTCTCAATCACACAAGAGGCTCTTTGTCAACTGAAATGAATGGGATTCTATTTTTGAGTGTTTTCTTTAGAACTAAAGAGTAATCTGTTAATCTCTTATATGGCTAAAGTGTCTATTCCTATAAGACTTGAAGAATTTTTACAGACATCAGTATCTTGGACTTAAATATCTTATATTAGAGACCTGTGTTTATGTCTCTAATATTAGCGAGGAAACTGATTTACCGAGTGCCTCAGTATGTAGATAAATGATGCTTAATACTCATCATTTTCCATGGGTGGATCTAGACTCAATATTCTGCACCCCTTTCTCTTATCTTGGTCTATTTTTTGGTTAGTCAAGTTAACCTAATCCAGCCCCGTTCCTAGCAATCTAAGTTGTCTGTGATACAACGAGATGCTTCCTTGGGCTTGGTAGCCTGATGGTTATAGGTGACATTGACAACATACATTCATGGGAACTTGTTGTTCTACAGTCCATTTGACGTGGAGGACGTGACCCCATCCTCGGGTACTGGGAACAAGACCGCAGCCCTACAGAGGAGAATGTCCATGTACAGCCAGGGCACCCCAGAAACACCCACCTTCAAAGATCACTCCTTCTTCGTAAGTTCATGTGATTTCTTGGGTAGAAACCATGAGCCTAACATTGTAGTTGCTGACCTTCCTGTGTTAGGAATTCTCAGTAATGCCTAGTCCTAGTCTTCTTTAAGTTCACCCTAACCCAGGAGTGCCAGTGAAAGTGCATTCCACACAGGTGGCTCATTGACACACAGGTGGCTGACATCTGTCTCCTCTGCACCCCCCCCCAGCCTACCTACCCTTTGCCAATTACCTATAAACTTCCCTGAATACTCTTTAAAGAAATGGAGATCCATGATGACCTCCTAGTTTGAATCAGAAGTGCTTGTTAAAAGAGCTAACAAGACATGGTACCTGCTGCTTTCCACTAACTCCCCCATCTTGCTTTGATTCTGAAGCGATGGTTGCACCCTTCAGCAGATAAGCCAAGGCGGCTGTCTGTCTTGAGTGCCTTGCAAGACACTTTCTTTGCCAAGCTGCATCGCAGCCGCTCTTTCAGTGACCTGCCCTCCCTCAGGCTGAGACCCAAGGCCGTGCTAGAGTTTTATGTGAGTGCGGGTGGCCTGCTGGTGTGAAGTGCTTGACTTCGGGGGTGTGTAGCATGTTTGCACTGGCATGTGTCTTGTTTTATCACCTCTGTCTTGCTCACTGGGTAATGGTGACAGCTGGCACTGTCCTGTCCATGGGGTGGGAACTGGGTCAAGCATGCATCTTGGCCAGAGAGGCAGTTTTTCTTTCTATTCTATTGCTCCCTGTCTTGTGCTGTGACTTTCCTCCGCTCTGGTAAAGATATCCATGGTAACAAGATTTTCATTTAAGCAAAAAAAAAAAAAAATGCAGTCACATCTCAGGTCAAAGAAGAGTTTGTTTCACAAGTTAAAGTATTTTCTTAGTGGTATGGTCTTTACAGTTAGTATTCAAAAACTGGCATTTGGGGAACACAAAAGGATTTAAAGCAATTTTTCTTGAACTATTTTGATAAAGATAGTCTTAGTTCATTGTAGTGTTTGTTTTACTAACTTGGTAAGAGACACTCTTTCATGCATCCTCAGTTATGCAATAGGCACCTGCAGAATTTGTTATGCATACTTCACAAGAAAACTCAAACACACACACACACACACATACGCAAACACATACAGAATACTCTGGTCTTTACAAACATAGAAAAATTCCCTTTGCATGTCCAGAGAGGAAAGGATTAAGCCAGTGTTCTTTTTCATAATAATAATTGCACTTATTCATTGAATTAAAAAAACCTAAGTATATAGCACCAGGCTACACTCTAGTGGAGTTTTCCAAAATGTGATCTTATGGAGGGGAAATAGACACAAAATCATGTTATCAGAAAGTGTGTAGCTTCCACAGTTGTGTAGGCACCTGTCAGTGCCATCTGTATATTCTTGCTTATATAAACACAGAGGTACACAGAGCAACTATTCCCCTCTGGCCACACCTTCTCTTCATCCTCTGCTCGAGCCTCCTATGAGCTCCTCACTGCCTTTTCAACTGTACACCCTTTCTCAGGATCTCCTGTCTTTGCACACATGCTGTTCCTTCTAGAGCATACTTCTGAGTTCATTTGTCTGACACCTCCCCACCCTCCAGGGCTGAGTGCCAGAACTCACTCTTCCCCAGGCAGCACTCACCCCCTGCCGCTGGGACCCGTCTCATGGTATCCTGCTCAATCACAATCCTTTGTACTCTTGTGTCTTCAAGTTTACCCACTGGGGACACCTTAAATCTCCAACTTACTATACTATCCTCAACTTACTATAACTCAAATTTGCTACTTAAGTAGATAATAAGTTGGGTTTAGGAATAGAAGACCCAAGAGAAGTGGCTGGAGAGGACTTTGGAACTTGAATAAAGATCTTGATGACCCAGTTCCTGCCATATGTGCTCTGAGGGTGATGTGAGACAGGGCAAACCATCAGAGGTTTGGCAACATGCCTAGGGGACTCCCAGAGAGGAAGTCCAGGTTCACCCCCTACCTCAGAGAGCCTCCCCTTTTGTCATTCCTGGAGGAATAAAGAAGGGCAGGAGGTCCTGGGGAGGTTTCTGGAATTCCTTCTTTCACAATCCACCACGATTCCCCACCCCCAGAACTTTGAAGAGCACATTCAGTCATCACAGAGAAAAGCATTTAGTTTTAAAGGGAAGACACTAAACCTACAGAGTAATTTCTCAAAAAGCCCAGGACACATCCTTTTACTTTATCCTTTTATCACCTTCCAAGCAGACAACATGGAGATTTGGGGTTGGGCTATTTATGTGTTGGGGTCTGGTGGCCTTGAATCCAGCTGTGAAGGCACCAGGGGCCAATGATGGAGGAAGACTGGGAGCCTGGAGTTTTCTGGCTGCTCTGATGCCAGCAGCTGAAATGCTGGTCTTAAGCACAGAGGTCCAGTTCAGCTAGCTTTAAGTTTGTTTCTCTTATAATGAGCTTTGTTCTATACAGCCATGGCAATTCTGTTACTTGTAGGAAAATGTGTTCTGGGTACCAGCAAACCATATATGTGATATTTAGCAACTTTAAATCTTTACCGTCCCATCTACTACAGAAATACACACATTTTATACTCATTTTTCAATCTCTGGCACTTCTCTTTACGAGTGTTTCAAAGCAGCTAAATCTGTGACCCTGACATGAATATTTCTTGCTCTAATAATAACTATAAATCTTTGAAGAAGTGAAGTATGTTTGTTTTATGGACTCTCTTACAAATTATTGTGTTATCAAAAAAATAAAATGCCATTCCTTGCTGGACTTATTCCCATCACCGTTGTGCAAACTCACTCATTCATTTGGTACTTAGAATTTACTTTAAAAATCAAATCTGGACTCCAATACAAACGATCCATTTTAAAAGAGCTTTTCTCAAAGAGCTGGAAAACTTTTTCCACAGAGCAATACCTAATACTTAGTGACACATTGTATAGACCCTGGTGGAAGGAAAGGTGACAGGAAGTGTTTTAATGCCTGCACAAACAAGAGATCTTGTTTACCTGGATATTTCTGACCTCTTGCTTCTGAGTTCTGCTTCATAAATCGCAGAGGGCTCCCGGCCCAGCCCAGACGGGACCAGACTCAGGATCTCCAGCCCTGTGAGGTCTGAGGTTGACATCCTTGGCAGACAAATGTTCAGCTTGTTAGTCTTTTCCCCCTTATTTATAGAAGTTACACAAATGTATTTCAAGCCTTGAATGATTTGTGTCATACTTAATTAATTAAAACATTTTCCTACGCCTTGGGATTTGTGGGTAGAAAGTTTTTAAAAATAATTTCTGAGAACTGGAGCAGAACAAAGCATCTTCTTAGTGGAACAGCATGAATATTGGAAAGTCTTCTAAGTTAAATGCCAAAAAAAAAAAAAGAAGAAGAAGAAGAAGAAGAAAAGTAATGTTATTCATCAGGGTGGCTGCCAAATATTGTGAGATCCTGGGATTTAGAGAAACAAGTACCATCCCCCACCCTCGCGCTAACCCTTTTCTTTTGAAAAATATGAAATCTGCGAATAGTATGATGAACTTTCACCTACTTTTAGCAGTGGAAATAGCATTTTATTTTTAAAGATTTAGTCATTTATGCTTACAGAATTGGGGTACAGGCCAGAGGTGTGGTGGGTGAGAGGGTTCCCCAGAGACAGAGTGGGCAGCAGAACAGGCAGATGGAGAAAGTATAGTGATGAGGGGAGCAGCAGGCAGGTCAGGAGAGGTCATACATTATGCCAAATGTGCCATTTGTGTTTAAAATAATGAGGCGTGTTCTGTCCACAGTCTAATCTACCTGATGACGTCTTTGAAAATGGAAAGTCAGCTGAAGAGAAAACGCCCCTCTCTCTCAGCTTCAGCGACCTCCCCAATGAGGACTGCGCCCTCGCCACCCACGCAGCCGGCTCTCCCCCCGACGCCTACTCGGCAAAGCCAGAAATTACCGTTACCCCTGCAGATCTGCACCTGAGTGGCCTGTCCTCCCAGGAGGAAGGCCCGGAAGACAGCAGCTCGGTGTCTTCCAGAAACTCCTTGGGAGAAAGCCCGGAGCCGAAGCCTCACCTGCAGGAAGACGCTGAGGGGCCCAGGAAACCCGAGAGCCCCCGAGCACCTGCAGGCCCCCCGGCTGAGCACCTCTTCCTGGAGAAGGATGTCACCGAGGCCCTTCTGAAAGAGTCAGAGGAGGCGTCTGAGCTCAAGCCTGTGGAGCTGGACGCTTTTGAGGGGAACGTCACGAAGCAGCTGGTGAAGAGGCTCACCTCGGCGGAGGTGGCGCTGGCCCCTGAGAGGCTGCGCTTTGAGGGCTCTGTCAGCGGCGAGTCCGAAGGCTGCAGGTCCTTTCTAGATGGAAGCTTAGAGGATGCCTTTACTGGGCTCTTCCTGGCGTTAGAACCTCATAAAGAGCAGTATAAGGAGTTTCAGGACCTGAACCAAGAAGTCATGCATTTGGATGATATTCTAAAAGTAAGTATCTCTTCAGGGACATTGGAGTAGGTTTGGAGAGAGGTGTCTTAAGCCTCTCTTAAGATGCATGTCATTTTTTGAAATCCTGACCTAATGGTGACTGGATAATCACCATTTCAATGGCTTTGATTTCTAATGTCAGGGGTTCCCATGAATTTTTATTTTCCTGGCAACAAATCAACTTAATGGAAATGGTTTAGGAGAAAACAACTCTAAGGAATATCTAGACTCCTCCAGTCCCGGAGTTTGTTCATTCTATGTATAAATGTAGGGTGGCCATGTTTGGATCATTAGAATCTTATTGAGATGTTGCTAGATAGTGTTGTAAGAAAACAGGAGACCCCTTCTCTGATTGAAGTCAGACTTAAGAGCCCCAAGTATTTCTTCACCCCACGACATTGCCCCCTGGAGAAGTCCCTTCTCTGAACTTGGCCTAAATCAGTGAGGCAGAACCTCAGCTTGATCATTTGCAAGTAACCATTAGTCATATATATTCTGGAAGGCAGGAAGCCCTCTGTTCTACCACTGATATACTCCTGAGTCCTGTTCCTGACCCATTAGCACCTCCCAGACATGGGAGGCAAGAATGAGATGGAGGATTTCCTTTCAGGCAGGAGGTCCTAGTGCGCTGGAAGACAGGGACTTTTTTTTTTTTTTTTGAATATATAATAGCTTATTTTTACATCAGTTTGCACCTTTTCCCATCCCCATGGACTCCCCATCACCAGATCACCCGTCTGCCGTCACCATAGTCCAGTGCAAACCCCACCCTGCACCACCACCATTTACAGGGACCTTTTTTATTCCCGATCCCATGCCACCTCTGATATTCTTTGCTGCCCTGACTTACACTGCCAGATGAAAGAGCTCTTGGATCCTTTCTTTTGAAAGAGCAATTCCTTGAGAACTTGTTCTGCACAATAGACTTGAAATATGGTCCCCAGTGTAAGGTGAGAGCCGATCTAACACACACAGACACTGGATTCTTTTTTAGCACAGTTTTAAAATGTGACCTTTCCCAGGCATGGGCAGCTACATTTCAGAGGTTTTTTAGAGCATCTTATCCCCCTCAGTCAAGACACCCTAGCTCGGCCCTGTGTGTCCAGGGCAGAGAGTAACTCATAGCTTTCAGGTTCTTAAGGCGCATGACAGGTTCATTCCGCTGCAGGAAGGCAGGGTGCTTTGAATCACCTCTCTGTAGAATATACTCAAAAGCATCATTCAGGACTTGCACATGCAGACTGCTTCTCAGGACCTCCTGTGAGAATCTCTCTTACCCCCAACAACTTCTCGTCTTCCCAGTTATTCAGCTATGCTCTGTGGGCAAAGTTCTAGGTTAAAAAGCTAAGACACAACGGACCCACTTACAGCAAATGCTTTAAAGAAAGCCAGTGGTGGTGAAGCTTCCTGGTCTAGGCAGCTGGGACACCAGTGTGCAAGGAAGTCATCTTTCAGGCTTAAGAAAACCCAGTTGTCACAGATTTCTTTGCAGCGTTATTTCCACCTGCCCTTGTTCTCCAAACATGCTGCTACTCAGATCCTTAATTGCCCTTGTCTTTCTTCTGATCAATACCTAAATACATGCAGACTGTGCAAGAGCAAGATCTACAGAGCTAGCAAAGACCTGAGAAGTGGGTTGAATCAGGACTGACTGCTTTTCTCCACCACCCACCCCTTCTCCCGAGATTGAAAAGGACCTGAGAGCTTAGTTCTGGAAGCTGTGGCTTTGTATCCAGCCAGATTTAAAGCATCAGCTGGACAAAGCTATCTCTCCCCCTCCCTTCACACTCCTAGGATGCTAAACATCTTGAGGATGAGAAACTAAATGATGCTGCCTCTTGGACGGAGATCACTGAGAGTGAATGAAGCAACTCTGATTTAAAAGCCCGAAAGACGGTTTCCCGTGTGCTTTTGTGCCATCTTAAGTGTCACAGACAGCCCTGCCAGGCCCTCTGCCTTGACTTGAGAATCAGCGAGGAGTGCACGCACGGAGGACACGTAGTGCTTCTTGTTTGCAGGCATTGTCCCCTTCAACCTACCCCAGCGTCCTCTCGACCCTTTGGATGTCCTGCTCTCCATCTCTGGGCCCATAGCGACTGGTTTGTCTCATTCACAGTTGCAAATTCAGCAGTAGCAAATTCTCCAGGCTGTAGGATGGATTTGCCCACACAATTGCAGGGCCCAGGCAGGGACGTGATGGAGTTTGTTCCCTTCAGGAAAGATGGGACTGGGGTCATGTCCACACCATTTACTTTCTCCTCAGTGCTCAGGTAAAAATGATATGCTGTGAATGTAAATCACAGGGCTACTTCGGGTCATGTCCACACCATTTACTTTCTCCTCAGTGCTCAGGTAAAAATGATATGCTGTGAATGTAAATCACAGGGCTACTTCGGGTCATGTCCACACCATTTACTTTCTCCTCAGTGCTCAGGTAAAAATGATATGCTGTGAATGTAAATCATATTTAAAGTGAATTTAAGCCGTTTCCTCTTTCTGGGATTTGTTTTGTTGCTCCTCTCAAGCAGGCGCCTTAGCTAGGTAGGCACTGAAGAAGAGCTTGCCACTTGGAATTAGAGATTGGTGAGCCATCAGCACTGATGCAGTGACTAAATTTGTCAACTGGTTGTATTTATTGAGGGTTCAGCATTAGGCTGAGGGAGCGTAGTTCAGTTTCCCAATTCATTCTGCTTTTTAAAATCTGTTTTATTATAAAATCTTCAAAGAGAAGTAGTGAGAATCATAAAGTGCTCATCTCCTGCCTCCCATCATGCTGGGGCCCTGGCCAATCTCATTTTGTCTACTCTTCCTGCCGCTTCCCTCTGGATTATTTTGAAACAAATCCCACATATTGTATCATTTTATTCCTGGTTGTACTTTTTTTTTCAATTGGAAGATTTTTATTGTGTTTTTTAAAAACACCCATGAAAAATAAAAGCTTGGAAAAAAAAATGCCGGTGTCGGGTCTCAAATTGGGTGCCGTGTGTTCCGTTTCTCCTTCTGAATGTGTTGATGTTCTCCTTGCTGCCTTCTGCCTTTGCAGTGCAAGCCAGCAGTAAGCCGCAGCAGGTCCTCCAGTTTAAGTCTTACAGTTGAAAGTGCTTTAGAAAGCTTTGATTTCCTGAACACCTCTGATTTTGACGAGGAGGAAGATGGTGATGAGGTTGGTAATGGTGGAGGAGGTGCTGACTCAGTATTTTCAGACACTGAGACCGAGAAAAATAGGTAAGTCTGGAGTTAGTATCTGCTTTTATTTCTCCTGTACATTAGTTCTTTGTTACCAGCACAGGGGACCCTTTCTGCATGACTCCAGGGGGACACAACTCTACATGAACGACCAATTGGCTTACAGTTCCTTTTTATTATCAAAGACATCTTATAATATTGTGCAGAGGAAAAAATTGCTTTTCTTTTCTTCATAATTGAAGGGGAAATTTTGGCCCTAGAGAGTGTGTGTGCATTCCTTTGTGTATATAAACCTTGTAGGGTTTGGTGTCTGCCATTTGACTCAAACATAATTAATTCCAAAATCACTAGATCTACTATGTTTCTGGAGAACTCTGACTAGCAGATCAAAATCAACCTGATTTTCCTTGATTTGTCTTTTATTTCCAATCTCTTGGTTTTGACACACTGTACTTTCCCCAAAGCTTTATTTCCTGGATTCAGTGGGACCTTTTTGTAGATAAAACTTAGCAAAGGATCACATCCCAGAACACATATTTCCCTTGGCAAGTAAGAAGAGGGAACTAATAATTGCCACTGGACCTTTAGCCTCCTCGGTGGAGAATATCACCTTCTCGAGGGTGGGGATAAAGTGGACAATGGGAAGGGAGAATGAAGATACAGTATCTTCAACCTTCCATTGAAGACACCATCCGTCTTCCTTGTGAAGCCAAGCCACCTTTTTTATAGCGAAAGCCTGTGGTCCATTTTGTCATTTCAGGTAAAGCCAAAAAGACACAGTAAAACATGCTCACCTCAAACATTGCTGGAAAAGGATTATGTATACATACAAATGCTTTTCCAAAGGAAAAGGGTGACTTTTCCATTAATCTGTACATTTGGCATACTATATAAGCAGATTTTCAAGTTGCTGCAAGCAATAAGCTCTTCAACCTCCATAAACCTCTGTGGGATGGTAGTAATATTTGGGGATTTTGTTATTCCTGGAGCAACTTTCTTTCCAATAGAAAACAAAACAGTGAGAAATTGAAGGTATCCCATGAGCAAATTGGGGTCATAGCAAAGAAAATATGTTAAATGAATATAACATTTCAATTATATTTCTACATTCTACACAGATTTTTCTAGCTTGGTTGAATTTGGAAAATGCTTTGTCAATCAAAAATCCTGCTGTATATTTGTTAGCTTCAGCTATTACATGGGATATCAAAGTTCAGGCATCAGTCTAAGACTTTTTTCTTCTTCCTGTTAGAAGCAAACGAGACTTACAGCTTTTGTATATTTTATGCAATATTGATATTGAAAATATCTAATTGGATTAGTCTTACTCTTTCTCATCAGTGGTATCGAGGAAAATTGGGGAAAGTATGTGTGAGTTCTAAATATGTGTTTATTGCCAAGACATAAGATGAATGTTTTTCTGTTGAACACAAATGAGAATCTGAGGCAAGTAGTCAAAGCCTCCAAGCTGTGGAGCAGGATCTTTTTGAATTGTGGAGACTGAGGGACATGACCTAGAAGCAAAAAGCTGCCCTACTGCAGCCCAGCTGTGAGAACCAGAAAGCTGTGGCAAAGTTTTCTGCCAACCAGCCCCTCTGCATGAAATGACCTGGCCACACCCCTCCTCCCTAGCACACAGACTCACCCTAAGAATAACTTAAATACTAGATGCAACAGATTTATCTTTCCACATCCATGACTATCACCATCTAACCTTAAACACCTCAAGAGTGGGCTTCAATGAAACATGAGACAAGCACACTGTGTCTGTGGAGATTCAAACACCCTATTTAGCTTTGTCCAGGCTAGAATATCACATCTCTGTTTGGCAGCGTTTTCTTTTTCTTCAAGTAGCAATTGATCGGAGGGCAGGAAAAGGCCTTGACAGGTTATTTCTTAACGGCATTGCTTTTCGGAAGCCACAAATAGACAATTTAAATCACTAAAATTTGGCAAATTTCCCCATCAGCCGGTCAGGAAAGAACCACAAGGGCAAAGGGAAGGCACAAACATGTCTTGGTGCAACAACTTGACAAGTGGTTCATTGTGTGTGAGAGGCAGAGAACTCTGGAAGCCATTTGTTTGCATGATCGTTTAACATGAAGCAAGTTGCAACCAAGCTGAATGAAAAGTAGTTTTTGAAAGGTCCTTTGAATTTTCAAGATAGGTCAGCAAGAGACAGCTTGTTGCGGGGACTGTTGGAAGCTTTGTATGAGCTGTGTTGAGATGGCCTGTGGTTTCCACCCGGGAGGAGATAGCTAATGTCTTGCTCTTCTTCCTGCTTCACCAGTTATAGGTCGGTCCACCCAGAAGCCAGGGGCCACCTTAGTGAAGCACTGACAGAGGACACAGGCGTGGGGACAAGTGTGGCAGGAAGCCCACTTCCACTCACCTCAGGAAACGAGAGCCTGGACATCACTATCGTCAGGCACCTGCAGTACTGCACCCAGCTTGTTCAGGTAGGGAGGGGGGTTGTGTTTGTGTTTGAGAATCCAGCTTGTTTACACGCTGAGAATGTGGACTTCCTTATCTTAGCCTTGTCAGGGACATGAGCATTCAGGAAGCAAGAACAATCCTGCTTTGATTTGAGCCAAATAAAAGACTCTGCTGGCTAAAAGTAGATGACTGGATTAAAAAGATGTGGTACATATATACAATGGAATATTACTCAACAACCAAAAAAGAGAAACACATGTCTTTTGCAGCAACTTGGATGGAGCTGGAAAAGATCATGCTTAGTGAGATAAGCCAGAAAGAGAAAGAAAAATACCGGATGGTTTCACTCATAGCAGGAGTATAATGGACCAGGCGAGAAAATAACAAGAATAATGAACAACCATATATACCAGAGACATTTTGTGGGGGTGGAGTGGGGAATGGGATCAAAAACGGGGGGGATGGGGAAGGAAGTACATGGGATTATGGTGATGGCACACGGGTGACTTGGTGATGGGAAACCTGCAGGGATTACAATTGAGATGGAAAAAAAAATGTACAAAATGATGTAAAAATAAACTGTTATTAAAAAAAAAAAGACTCTGCTGGGAAAATTTCTCTCAGCCCTGGGTTTCCCATCTTAAAACCTAGCTCTCCAGACCTTAAAAGGTGGGAGGTGAAATAATAGTTTGCTCTTGCTTTCAAATCATTTTATAGTAGGTAAAACTACTGAATTTATATTAACATGAGTTCATTTTTGAAAGCTGAAATAGCTAAAAGCAAAATGCTACAGATAGAACCCTGACCTTCCTGATCATGTCCTTGTTAACAACAGGGAAGAACTTTTTTCTAAGCCATTATCACCACCTGTTAGCCCTCATTGTGGGTTACTGTGGTCTAATTTTTATTCTTATTTTGAAGCTGTTAACTCTTTAGGTTTTGCAACAGTGGAGCAGGTATTTTGAAATTCCTTCAGTGCAGGAAGGGCTTCAGCTACCTCAAACAAAGCATTTTCCCTCAAGTAGTTATGTGATGGCTTCCTCCTTGTCCGGCTGTTTGTTTTCTCCCATCCTGTTCTCTTCTGGTTGAGTAGGGAGAAGGAAAAGAATGTGAAAGCAAATGTCCAAAGATCTCAGGGGCATGGGTCAAGCAAGAGGGTGCAAGGGGAGGAATTATGTTAAGACTTGCGAGCAGCTGGAGGACAAGAGGCAGGGTGAGGAGGGTCGGTAGGCAGGCTGGGAGAGGGCCACATTGGAACATTCTTATGAGGAAAAGTAGAATATACTTCTCCATGGATAAGGAACCCCCAGAGGAGTCTCAGACCTTTTATGTGCTATGGGAAACCGGATGCTAATTATGACTCTTGTCCCCTGGCGGGCAATACCAGCTAACTTCTGCTGCATTTTGGATTTCCAACTCATGGTTGTGACTACCAGTGTCACAGAAAGTGCAGCAGATTTTTCTGACCAAAATGAGCGAAATTGTTGTTTTGCTTTCTTCAGCAACTCTTCAAATGAGATGTTTTTCACAGCTCTTTGGTCTTGCCAAGCCCCATACTGTGCCGAGCAAATTATTTGTCTTTTTAAGATAAAAGTCTTTATTTTGTGAGAGATGAGAGAATTCTCTTTCACAAAGAAGGGGGTTTGTCTCCCAAGCACCATGCTTCCCCCTGACGTAAGGCCATGCTCATAATAATTCAACTGGAGACAAAAATCAGCACTAGAAGAACAAAAGATGCAAAGGTGTAGAATGAAGAAATAAGGATTAGCAAATTAACTATAATTCCTATCCTTGCCCAGATCAAGTTTATTTATTCATTTGGTCTACAAATAAGCATTCCATAATATCTGAACTATGTTCAAAAGCAAGTTGTTCATTTCTAATATACTTACATGAAATATGTTAGTACATAACTGTCACCCTCAACTTTTGCATTTGAAAATTCTGTTTGTTTTGGAATCCATATGGTTTAGATAATATAGGCTGGTAGTTCCGGTCTGCAAACTGTATCCACACCCAGTCAGTGACTGTGACAGGTCTCTGAGAGGCACAGAAAGGACTAGAACCTTCTGACAACAAGTGTCTTCTGTCCTTTTCTCTCTCAGGCCCTTCCTTGTACACACAAGCGAAGTCACTTAGTGTTTATGTGACTTTGGGGAGGAGAGTTAACCTCTCTGTGACTCAGTTTCCTCATCATTAGAATGGTATCTCCATAGTACTCACCCTATATGAGCCAATGCCTATTGAGGGACTGGATCAGTACCTGATACCTGCAGACCACTTGTTATTTAAGATAAGAGAGTTTTAGTTATAGCTATCACTGTCACTCAGCATGCTCTTAATTTTCAGCTTAAAAATAAATCCATGGTGTAAAAAATTGCGACACATGCAAAATAAATCTTTCTTCTATTTATGCATTGATATTCAGTCTAAATATACCCTAAATATGCCAGAGGATTCACAGATTTCCAATATAACAGGTCTTCAAATAATGTCATCTTGTTCAGTGTGTTGTTATAACATTGATGAAAAAAAAATCCCAGGCTACGCCAAAGAAAACAAAGTGATTCGAGGACTTGGAGTCATTAGATGTTTCATTTAAAGTCATAGTTTCTAAGAATCTGTATATGAAAGACAGCTTTACAGTAATCTTGCAAGTCTATGCCTGAGAAAATTCCAGCTAGGATATCGACATGAAAAATTTTAAACCAAAAAAGTTAAACATCTAACTTCAGCCATTGTAACCAAAATGGAATGAGGAAAGTTACCGAACTAGAATGAAACCACTGTAGGAATTTATTTAGCATCCCCCACATTCAGGAAGGATGAGGTTGAAGAGGGAAACTTTGTTGACAACACTGTATTTGAAACAATGAATTTGTTTGTTTTATCAGCAAATTATTTTCTCAAGCAAAACCCCATTTGTGGCAAAAAATCTGTTAGAGAAACTTTCTAGGCAAATCCAAGTGATGGAGAAACTCTCAGCTATCAGCGATGAGAACATTGGAAACATCAGTTCCGTCATCGAAGGTGAGCACCTACAAATGACACCCCTCTCCTCTCAGCAGGGACACCATTAACCCCTTCTTCCATGTGTGTCTATTTATTCACTTTGTCTGTCTAGCAGAAAAGCATTGTTGGGTCACAGAATGGGGGTGTCTCCATGCTGGTGTGGCTTTCATTAACACCACACTTTGGTCTTTGGAATCAAACCAAACCGTGACTTTTTCTATAGGGGTCCTCACTTCTGGAAGCCAGGTACTGTGGTACAAACAGAAGCAGCATCCAACCCAAAGACAGCGTCTCCAGGTTTTCTGCTGATATGGCTCCATTTGGAGACAGATGAGTAGGGTTATTATTATGCCATGGAACTGCCTAGAACAGCTCCAAAACAGCTGTCAAATGCTCCCAGGTCCTGCAGGCAAAAGGCCTTCGCAAACCTCCCTGGTGTAGGTGGACAACATGACATGAGGAAATGGCTTTTGAATGTGTATGATGTGGCCGCAGGGCTCTTGTGTAGAATGACTCTGTCACGTCTCAGAGCCACAGGATAGTGGGTGCCTGGGTCTTGTAGGCTGCCTCTGATTAAGGCTACAACTCCCTGCAGATTCTCCCTGTATATCTCTGCCTCCTTCCCCCTCCTGGTCACCTTAGCAGGTGTCTGACAGAGGCACAAAAAGGGGCGGGACTTTCAGGCTATGGGTGACACATGTCCTGTCCTCCCCACCCTCCTCAGGATGGCAAGGCAATGTCAGGTGCCTGCTGGCTCACACCGGGCTCCTTCATTTTCATCTGAGGGTCAGCTGACCAGGGTCCAAACAACCACTCTAGCCACCTACTCTCATGCTTCATTCGTTCAGAAAAACCTGAAGTCAGAGTCTCTGATCCTGGGTGTTTTGGGGACAGGAGATGAGCAGATCGCAGCCTCACCCAAGAGGAAGCCACTGTGTTTCCTATTACTGAAAGCAAACAGCTTTGCTTTCGACGCTCCTTATTACTCACTCGACAGGCTTGGGAGGGTTCCTCCTGGTAACTTCTTTTGCTCTTTCGACCATCTGGCCCTCCCCAGGGACATCTCTGCATATGCTTCACCCGTAACCTGGATCACAGAGTGAGGGCTTCGCTCTTCTTTTCCAGCCATCCCAGAATTCCACAAAAAGCTGTCTCTGCTGGCTTTCTGGACCAAGTGCTGCAGCCCCGTCGGTGTCTACCACAGTTCAGCGGACAGAATGATGAAGCAGCTGGAAGCCAGCTTTGCCAGAGCGGTCAACACAGAGTATCCGGGACTCGCAGACTCAGGTGCCTGAGGGCTCAGGGAGGGCAGACTCCTCCTTCTGTGTGAGAGTGACTCCTTCTGTGGGGGCCGGGTCTCCCCACACTCTCCCTGCATCCTTGCTAGCTAACCCTGAAGCGGGCTGCCTTGGCAGAGAAAACATAGTTTATTTAAAGCCAAGAAAGCTGTGGAGCCTATTTGAATTCAGAATACCAGCAGTAACACTGCATTTCTGTGTTGTTATTTAGTCATAAAAATGCCACCAATGTGTTTCTCTCCAGCTCTTTACATTTAGAAGCCCTGGCGAGTGCCCCCTCCACCCCTCTCCATTGCAGAAAACTTTCTTCCCTCATTTCGTACTCACTCCTCTGTGGAAGGTGTAAGAGGGAGCAGCCTGCCCTCCTTCCCTCCGCCCTCACCCTGAGGCACAGGAGGTAGAACAGTGAACAGGAGAAGCGAGATGCCTTCTTTTAGCATGTTTTGCATCTGTGGAGGAAGATAATTCCTAAGTTAAGTTTTTTTAATATCACCAATATGAGGGTATTTGATGGTGTAAGCATTTGCGAGAAAACGGATGGTTCCCATTGACACTAAGTATGCACCCAGCCTCAGATCCAGAGTTCCACTCCTGCCAAGAGAAATAGGTCCAAAAATAAAGGACCTGTGTAAAAAAATCTGAAGCAAGCTTCTTCATAAGAGTCAAACATTGGAAACAATACAGATGCCCATCAACACGAAAATAAATTATAATCTCTCCAGACAATAAGTTATTACACAGCAATTTTTCAAAAGAACATACACAGCTAAAGCAACAATTTGGATGAAACTCAGCTGTATTTTGTTGAGTAAAAGGAAGCAGATCTAAAAAGGTCATATTGTATAATTCCTTTTAAATGAGACAAAATAAATAAGTGAAAACTTCAGGAATAGGCAAAGCTAACTGATGTGCATAGAAGTCAGATTGGTATTACCTCTGGTGGTCCTAGATGTGACGCTTTAGGTTGAGAAAATATAAGAGACATTTTGGGGTGCTAGCAGTGATCTGGATCTAGATCCGGGGGTACCAGTACAGGTGTAGAGAGATCACAAATCACACAACCTGAACAGTCGTTCACTCCACATACATCACTCCAAAATAAAAAAGAGGAATGGATGGATGGATGAACGAATGGGTGGATGGATGGATGGATCTCTAGTCCTGTTTCTTAAAAGCGACTTCATATCTTCCCCTGCCACACAGTGTTTCGGACCCTGGTGTCCCAAATTCTGGACCGCGCTGAGCCTCTGCTTCCCTCCAGCCTTTCCTCAGAAGTCATCACTGTTTTCCAGTATTACAGTTACTTTACCAGCCACGGTGTGAGCGACCTGGAGAGTTACTTGAATCAGCTGGCCAAGCAAGGTGGGGTGTATATTTCCGTCATTCTGGATAGAGTCTTTTTATTTATTATTTCTACATCATTTTTCATTTTGTGCATTTTCCATCTCAGTTGCAACCCCCATGGGCTTCCCACCACCACTTTACCCATGTGCCAGCACCATAGTCCCGTGCAAACCCCGCCCCGCACCACCACCATTTACAGGGACCATTTTTATTCCTGATCCCATGCCACCTCTGATATTCTGACTTACACTACCAGGTGAAAGAGCTCTTCCCACCCCAGTTCTGATCCCATTTCCCTTTCCACCCCTGTAAAATGTCTTTGGCTTACAGTTGTTCATTGTTTTTGTTTTTACATTATTACAATTTTTCCCCCAATCCTTTACACTCCTCCTAGGAGTGAAACCATCCAGTATTTTTCTTTTGGCTTATTTCACTAAGCATGATCCCTCCCAGTTCATCCATGTTCTTAAAAAAAAAAAGAAGGCTTATTATGCCTACAAGAACTGGGGTACAGGCCAGAGATGCAGGGGCTGAGAGGATCCACAAGAGACAGAGTGGGGAACAGAACAGGCAGATCGACGAAGTACACTGCTGAGGGGAGCAGCAGATAGGACAGTAGTCTGCTGCGCCTCGTAGGTCAACTCCCTGCCCAAGGATTGAACCCGTGCAGGGGCTGTGGACAGCTTCATAGTGCTGCACTTTAACCTGTTGCACCACCAGGGAGGGCCCTACCACTGGTCTTTTTCATCAGTTTTTGTGATGGTGACTTTGCTGAGATTTGCCTTGTAAATGCCCTCTGGCCCGACAGTGCAGGTGAGGAGACCGGAAATGAGGAAACCAAGGGAGCAGACTCAGGGTGGCTCAGTGCCAGGTGGTGCCAGTGTCTCTGGCCCAGCCCAGACTTAGTCCTTGATTAGTCCTGTGACAACACGTTTATTTATAAACGCATCTAGGAATAAACCAGGGATTCACTCAACATCCTCTTCATCTGATGGAATACTGATCATCCAGAGTTTCCCACAAACTGGTATCTGGGAAATAATTTAAGACTTGTCTATCATATCTTTCCATTGAATGTATTTGATGTATTTGTCCATCATGGGATCAAACCTATAGGCAAAGCTATTTCATGGTGCCCTTTCTGGTGGCATTTGCATAGTAATAGACAGAAATGGATTTTAAAAGAAGGTAAATGTAGTGACCTTGGGCAGAGAAAGAAGGGGAAAATTAAAAACCAAATCTAAGGTTGCTTATCCATGGAGAGGTCCACATATAGAAATGCAATGATGAAATTCACTATTGTTTTCCATGTTTTCCTTCTTTCTTGAATTATAAGAATAAAATGAGCATCTGCCCTGAGTGAAAACCTCTTTAGGGATGGAGCCAATCAGTAAAGGTTTGGGTTCTGGCTTTCAAGTTTGTCTGCTTTAAGTCCACCAAGGCCCAACAGTGCAGGTGAGGAGACCGGAAATGAGGAAACCAAGGGAGCAGACTCAGGGTGGCTCAGTGCAAGGTGGTGCCAGTGTCTCTGGCCCAGCCCAGACTTAGTCCTTGATTAGTCCTGTGACAACACGACCAGCATGGCAGTTTGGCATGACAGTGAGAGAAGAAACTCTTCCTCCAGCCAGCACCACACCATCAGAGCATCCTCACCAGTAGTCACAGTGCAAATAGTGTGCCCGGAGAGGCTGTGTCTGGGAGACATTGTGTGAGGAACATAAGTCTCACTATAGTCTTCATTTCTTGAGTCTCAGCTTGTCTCAGTGTTAATCAGTTTTCTGAGTCAATGTCTGTAATACTCAATTTATAGCGGTGGAGGTTAAGGTCTTTAAGTTTCTCATGACAGTCTGGAAGGCTTAATTCCTTGATCAGTAGGAATGAATGATGATGGGGGGGAACCCTAATCTTTTTATGAGTTTCTTCTTCTTTTTTAATAAAAGGGAAAGGCTTTCATTAGTTAAGGAAAATTAGAATACAGAGAGACGTATAAAGGAAGAAATTGAAATCATCCGTTCTCCTACTTCAAATGTTGATATCTTTTTCACTTGAATATCTTTTAAATTCCAAGATCATGATTACTCATGACAGAGTATGACAGCCTGTTTGCTTTTTTTATTGGCCATTACCTCCTATGCTGTTAATTCTTTAAAACATTTTTATTAGTTTTGTAATAGCCTTCCATTTGGGTGTTTGCTATTGTATTTGATCACTGTTGAACATTTAAATTGTTTTCTGTTTATTTAGCTATTATACATACTATCTCAAAACCTCTCACTAGGGTACTATGTATAAAGCAGTGAAATTATCAGAACTTGTACAGCAGGAAAAGAGGAAACAAGGCAAGAAGTCTCAGTAATTCACAAACATGCCCATTGTGGAAAGGACACTTCTGTTGATGGGACAGGAACGTTAGTTTGTTTTCCATCAATCCTGGTCAGACACACTTCTATCCAAATGCTTTTGTGACTAGTACATGTCCGTGCTAAATATCTAGTTAGAAATCAGAGTGTTTTCCTCAGCCATGGAACAAAACCAGTTTGTCTAAATGGGACTCAAAATTTTACATTTTTTCAAATCATATTGTCTGCCTGCCCCAACCAACAAGCTAGATTCCTCCACAGGAGGCAGTTGCTGGAGTACAGAGAGAACAGAGTTGAAGTGACTCTTGAGTAGGATTTTGCCAGACAGGAAGAACACCAAGTCAGAGAAGCAATGGAGTTTGCTCTTTCAAGAGGAGTGTAAGATGTGTGCACTTGTGTTTTTGTCACTAATTTTTTTTTAAAGATTTATTTATTTGTGCATACAGAACTGGGGTACAGGAGGCTCAGGGGCGGTGAGAGGCTTCACCAGAGACAGAGCGGGGAACAGAACAGGCAGATCAACGAGGTACACTGCTGAGGGGAGCAGCGGGCGGGTCAGGAGAGGTCTGCCTCGCCATGTGGTCACCTCTGGGGCAGGCGGGAATCGAACTCATGCGGAAGCGGCTTTAGATTCTCAGTGCTGTGCTCTAACCCGCTGCACCACCAGGGAGGGCCTTTTGTCACTAATTTTTGCATCTGGCTGTTCCTGAGTTATTTTAGCAGTAGTGTGAGGTAGACACTTACTTCATGTGACTTGTCACGTGCCTTAACGTAGTTTCTGCCCCTTTTCTCAATAACAGAGACTCAACCTTAATCATAGTCAAAATTTTCATAGCCACTAGGGTCTACTCTTACATATATACTCAGTTCATGTATACTGGAACCTTCTTGACGTTTTCAATGAACATGTCACTTTGCTGTTAGAAAGTGAAACCTGGTGATTTGGTGATGGGAAGCCCGTGGGGATTACAATTGAGATGAAAAAAAAATGTGAAAAATGATGTAAAAATAAACTTTTTAATAAAAATAAATAAATAAATAAATAAATAAATAAATAAATAAAAGAAAGTGAAACCTGTTTTCTCCTCTCTCTAGTTTCCATGACAGAGACTCTGCAATCCCTAAGAGAGGAAAAGCTGCTGCAGGCCATGAGTGACCTCACTCCCAGCAGCCTCCCCGCCCAGCAGGAAGTTCTCAGGACCCTGGCTCTGCTGTTAACTGGAGAGGACAGCGAAGTTAGTGAGGCTGTGACACTTTACTTGACAGCAGCCTCCAGAAACCAACATTTCAGGGAAAAGGTAGGGGCTGCAGTCATGGCTGCTGAACTACAGCTTGCTTCATTTCCTCTAATGCATTTTAATACTTTGCCACCTATTGTCAAAATAATTATCTCCCAGTTGACAGTAATAATACCTACTTTGTCAAGTAACAAAAAATAGAAAAAGACACTATCCATAGGTGCTCGGTAAGTTCAGCCTCCAAAGAAACACATTAATAACTTCCAGTATATTCCTTGTTTTCTTTTTCTGTCTCTCTGCTAGCATGGATAATTGTTTTTTCCTTAAATAAGAGTCTGCTGTTCTGTTTTGTAATGGGTTTTTTATTATTATTTTTAAAATTTTATTTATGCATACAAGAACTGGGGTACAGGCCAGAGGTGTCAGGGTGGGGGGTCGGGGGGTGGTGAAAGGATTTGCCAGAGACAGATTAGGAAGCAGAACAGGCAGATCTACTGAAATGCACTGCTGAGGGGAGCAGTGGAGGAGACAGGAGAGATCTGTTGTGCCATGTGGGTCACCCATGTGGCTGGGGATTGAACTCATGCTACAGTGGCTGCAGATAACTTTATAGTGCTGAGACTTAACCCCTTGTGCCACCAAGGAGGCCCTGTAACAGGTTCTCATGCCTTGTTGGAATACACCTCTAGAAGTTCTCAGCAGCTATCATTTCTTAGACAGCTGCTCTAAGTCCAGAGGGAAATGTGATGGGTGCACGCTGTGAGGCTGTATATGTCTCTGGAAGCACACGGGTTGCCAGTGCTTCCCAAGTCAGGGCCTGTGCCAAGTCTCACTCAGACAGGTGGAGGCTTGGTTCTGGGACTCAGAGACTGTGGCCTGGAAGCCCCCGCCAAAGCTCCTCTTACTGGGGGGATGGCCCCAGTCTACATCCAACACTTTATCCCTGATGAACCACTGTGGTGATGCAAACATTCCCAAAGAGAAGAATAACTTGTTACCAGCCATTGATAGCTCGGAATGCATGGTTTTAGCGAGAATTTTAGAGAAAGTTTGATTTGGTGGTTGAAACTTGTCCTGCGGTAGTACAAACCGTCTTGTTTGTTTGTTTAAGATTTCTTTATGCATAAAAGAACTGGGGTACAGGCCAGGGGGGCAGGGTGAGAGGATTCACCAGAGACAGAGTGGGGAGCAGAACATGCAGATCAACTGAAATACACTGCTGAGGGGAGCAATGGCCAGAACAGGAGGGGTCTGCTGCACCATGTGGGTCACCTCCCCGGGCAGGGATTGAACTCATGCTGAAGTGTCTGTGGACTGCTTCATAGTGCTGTGCTTTAACCCCTTGCACCATCTTGCCTTGCAAGATGTCTTGTTTGATGCTGTTGTAGTTTATCTCAGAGTAGAAGTGATCTGTGTGTCATACATATATGTGTATGTATAGACACACCCCCAATCAACAATCAGCAAATCCAGATCTTGTTGAGATGTCCCTCCTTCCTTTTTTCAGGCCTTGCTATATTATTGTGAAGCATTGACAAAGACAAACCTCCAGCTCCAGAAGGCAGCTTGCCTGGCCCTGAAAAGCCTAGAGGTAAGTCCAAGGCTTACCCTAAGCTTTGAGAGAGACTAAGCCAAGTGCATAGAGCATATAAGAACTGGAATGCAGACAAGGGGTACAGCAGATGAGAGGGTTCACCAGAGACAGAGTGGGGAGCAGAATAGGCAGAGTAACTAAAAATCACTGCTGGAGGGGAGCAGCAGGAGAGACAGGAGAAGTCTGCTGGGCCATGTTAGAGTCAGCTCCCTAACTGGGGATTGAACTTGTGCTGCAGTGGCTGCTTATAGCTAGATAGTGCTGAGACTTAACCCCTTGTGTCACCAGGGAGATTCCTGTTTGCACTTTTTTTTTTTTTAAGATTTTATTTACTTATGCTTACAGAACTGGGGTGCAGACCAGAGGTGTGGTGGGTGAGAGGATTCACCAGAGACAGAGTGGGGAGTAGAACAGGCAGATCTACTGAAATATGCTGCTGAAGGAAGCAGCAAGTGGGCCAGGAGAGGTTTGTCACACCATATGGGTTAGCTCCCTGGATGGGGATCAAACTTCTGCTGTAATGGCTTCCGAGAGCTTCATAATGTGGTGCTTTAACCCATTGCGCCACCAAGGAGAGCCCTGTTTCCACTTTTTGACTACTACAAATGACATTCCTGTGAACACTGGCTCTGTAGAATTTGTGTAGACCTATGTCGAGGCCCTAGTGGTGGCAGGATGTGAAAGTACACATTTGTAGAGCTTTGAACTTATAACTTTCAGATACAAAGATTTAAAACATCTTTACCTCAATATACATAACAGGGGGAGAAAAACCAAACTACACAAAGAACTGAAAAACATACACATCTGATACAAATTGCCTATACCTCAATAATAAGATAAACAGCACAATCCAAATAAATGGGCAAAATACATGATTGCAGGTATTCCTGATGAAGATCTATAAATGGTTAATAAGGAAACATGTTAATAAGATAACACTAAGGCGACACACATCATAATGGAAGTAAATAACCATTTCCGATTCCTAAAATAGTAAGTAAGACAGGACAATTGTGGAAGCTACACAGAAAAGGGAACACTCATATATTGCTGTTGGGACAGGAAAATGATGCAGTCTTCAGTTTCTTGAAGACCCCCATGTATAACTGCCATACCGCCTAGAAATTCCTATTTTAGCGATCAACCTCAGAGCAAAGAATCTGCTTTTGCGAGCACGCCCAGGGGTTTCACAATGAAGACAAGGTGGTGCTGTAAGCGTGAACGACTCAGGCCCCAAGCTTAGGAGCAAGGCTGCCTGTTGCAAGGTCAGCCAGGATAGAAGCTGGTCATGAATGATCAGGTCCGAAATGAATGTTTCAGTCATCTAGTAAATAAATAAACAAATAAATAAATCCAGACCCTGCCCATCTGGCGTCACGCTGAAGACCCATATCTGGCTCCCCAGGGCATCTGCTGAGTCTCTGGTGGGGTTGCATACAGTCCAACTTCTTTTTCTACCCAATTCTGCTGTTTTCATTTTCCCTCTCTGATCCCAAGAGTACCACCAATCAATTTCCTATACTTGGAAGTAAAAATGAAAGAGTTGAGGGCTCTTGACACTCAGCTACCTTTGGGGTTCCCTAGGTAAGATAGTTTCTAAAACCCTTACCAGCTCTGAGATGCTAAGACTCATGTTCCTCCAGATGTAAATGTCAAGATGCAATTTGAATATTTTCTCTCCTTAGGCTACTGAAAGCATTAAGATGCTGGTGACTTTGTGTCAGTCCGATACTGAAGAAATCAGAAATGTGGCCTCAGAAACGCTGTTGTCTCTTGGTGAGTTGTTGTTTTCTACATGATGGCTTACCTATACTCTGGAAGGAAATGGTAAGGGAATGCTTCATGTCCGCTGTCTTAGCAACTTCCTCCTATAGGTTGTTATGGATGCACACACACACAAAGTGTGAGGACCTGCTCAATTTTCACCTCACCGCAACTCCTTCTTCTGATTGCCTGGGTGTTGGGTGTGAAGGTTACTCTCTGGAGACTTTCTAGATATGTTGATCAGTCTGAGCCCTGTTTGGACTCAAGAACATAGATGTAAATCACAAAACAGAGGCAAGAGTTGGGAGTCCATGTGGGATCACCAGGTAGGGGGTGGCCCTACCTGAAGAATAAGGATTGGCTGAGCTTCCCACACATTTCCCAGAAAACACTCCAACTACTATCGTCTCATCTTGCCTCTCTGGCTAACTGAAGCATGCTATTTGCCCACATCTAACTGAACCCAGCTGCCAAAGACAAGAATTGCAGCCTTTATTTTATCCTGGAATACCCAAAGAATCTTCTTCATTTCACTTTATTAAGGTTCATGCCTGGCAGGTTTCATACTTTTGTTTTGTGGGGGAGTTGGGAGACTATAGAAAGGCTTTTTAAACTCGCCATGAAAAGATATAGAGTTGCTACTGTTTTACAAGACACTCTGAGAGTGTAAAATCTATTCTCCTGAAAGTCCTGTAATGTAATCCAGTCAATAATACCAGTTGGAAGAAAGCCAACCTAGTTTGACTATAGTATTTAAATAATGTAAGGGAGACGCTCATGGCATTTAAAATCACCGTGAAAATAACATTCATTGTGAGGTATTTTCTTACATTTATCAGTTTAGTAACACTTCTTTCTGCTATTGACTATTATTACATGTACAGAAATCTTAGCCGGCATTTGTTTGCTTAAAGGATAAAACAATTATTCTGATGGCTCTAACAGGCATAGAGTTTATTTAATTACCTAAAAATGTGCCCAGGGTGTTACTAGTTTGAGCTTCTTTTACCCCTCAGTGTTCAGAGATCACAATGAAGGTAAGCCAGATGCCTGCAAAGCATGGCCAGTGTTGCTTCTTTTCCATTGTGACCTAGGAAGCTTATCCCTGTTGAATGTGCCCCAAGATTCACAAAGCAGCATCTCTAGAAGTGAACATAATGCCTGCTTCACCCTGGCTTTCAGATGTAGTCCCACACCTCCCAATCCATGCCCCCCATACCGCTTACCATCTGACCGTGATTCTCATGTCATATTGGAATCCCCAGGCAGCTCTAAAACATACTTATTCTGGGTTCCTTTTCCAGAGTTTCTACTGTAAGTCGCCTGAAGTGTACTTCAGCATTGGAATATTTTGTAAAGCTCCCACCACTACCCCAAATGATTTGAATTTACAACAGAGTGTGAGAACCTCTGAACCTAATGTCTGTGTACACTAACCCCTCAACCCCATGCCCCCACACCTCTCTGAGTGAATTAATATAGTACAAATGAAATTTTTTAAAGATTTATTTTTATTTATTTATGCATCTAAGAACTGGGATGTAGGCCAGTGCTATGGGGTGGGGAGCAGTGAAGGATTCACCAGAGACAGAGTAGGGAGAAGAATAGGCAAATTGACTGAAATACACTGCTGAGGGAAGCAGCAGGTAAGAGAGGTTTGCTGTGCCATGTGGGTCACTCCCTGGCCGGGAGCCACAGTGGCTGGTGATAGCTTGATAGATAGTGCTGAGATTTAACCCCTTGCACCACCAGGGAGGCCCAAAAGTGGTATTTTTGATGAGAATTGATAAAAGATGCCCTATGGTAAAGGACTGGGGGTTCCTCACAGGGTATTTATGGGGAGCTGAGCAGGAGCTGTTTGCCAACCAGTGAAGAATTCTTTCAGTGTTTGAATCTAGAGCTGCCTAGGGGACCCCTCTGTGGCGTTGGGACTGTTCTGTATGTTCTGTCCCGGGGGCAGCAGGCGGTGGGTGTGACTATTGAGCAGTTCTTTGTGGCTCCAGTGACTGAGGCGGAACTTGGCTTAATTTTGAGTGGTTATCATTTGTGTTTAAATAGCCCTGTGAGACTGTGGCCACATATAGGACAGAACATTGCTCACTGTGGCTCTGGCCACCCCGGTGCATCCCAGCCGGTCCCCACTCCTGGTGGTAACCATACTGATCCCACCCCCAAAGCTTGGGCTCTCTCCCCCAGCACCCGTCCTGTTTTACTGGAATGTTAAGGGCCAGTAGGGACTCCAGTATAAGTCAAAGCCCCAGAAAATTCCATGTTAGTAAAAGCAGGAGAACCTGAAAACTTGACTCTGATTGTGTCTCTGTAGGTAATAGTTGGGAACAACCAGAGAGGCCTTGTTCTGAGCCAGGCACTGTTGAGTGCTTGTAAGGGGTAGCTGACGTAATGCACCCTTGACCTTTGTGAGGGAGGAAGCACCATTAGTCTCTGTTAGTCTCGTTTTACAGAAAGGCATGTTGAGGTATGCTGACATTGTCTGACCTCCCCACCCACACCCTGACCAGTCAGGCACGCACCTGGAATCTTGACCTGTTAACCACCTAGGCTGTGAGGACCCTGAGGGAATTACCTCTACATTGGAATCTATCCATGAGCCAGTTAGGAACTGGGCTACTATTTGTGGTTTTTAAAATAGTGTTTGTTCACCAGAGCACTCCCAGGTATGGTGTTGTTTTCATTTATATGTCAGAGTTGGGTGTAAATATTTTTTTCAAATAAAGGTTCTACTCCAATCTAATAATGAAAGTTATTAGAGTAGGAAAAATACAACTCTTGTCTCAGAAAGTCAAGGCATATAGAAATAATCAACATGCATCTTTAGAAACTACCAACTTTTGCTGATGGAAGAATTTACTACAAAGATTTTTCAAATATAGGCAAATTATTTTTGTACCTATTATATATCCCTCCAAAATTAAATGTAAGCATTCTCCTTCCCTAAGGTAAAACCGCCCAGACTTTTATTAGCCTGTGTTTACAGAGATTAAATATGTTATAAAATCCATGAGTACACTTCTTTTCTAAAACCCACTGATACCAGCATATCCAGATTTTCCTGAACCGTTTTTTTCAATTTCATTTTTCTTCACAATGAACTTCTGAATGCATATGGTAAAGCATTTCCATGTTGTCTCATTTGTGTTAATGTATGAAAACCTGCTTCTTATCATCATTAGTGAACTTCTTTCTCCATTTTTTAAAAATTTTTGTGTAGAAGAAGTGGCTGCAGTCAGAGGTGCATGGCGGTGGGGAGGGGGTGAGGGAATTCACCAGAAACAGACTGGGGAACAGAATGGATAGATTTACTGAAATACACTGCTGAGGGGAGTAGCAGGCGAGACAGGAAATGTCTGCTGCGCTATGTGGGTCACCTCTGAGGTGGGAATCGAACTCAGGCCCTAGTTTTGATAGTGCTGAGATTTAATCCCTAGGCCACCAGGGCTCTTTTTTATTTCCTAGTCTTATTTAGAAAGTAAGAAAAGTACATCTCTGAGAAGGTGTGGATGTCCATCCCCCAAATCATTATAATGCCAACAACCAATGGTAAACCATAATTAAACATTTAAAAATGGAAAGAAGAGGAAAAATGCAACAAGATATTCAAATTTGCAAGTTCCCCTTGGCTTTTAACACTGAGCTAACTGTGGACTGGTTAGTTTTGTCACCACATGTTTAAATCTTGAAGTGGAATTGTTTAGCTGAGTCTGAAAGCCAACATTTGATTGTTTTTGAAAAATCATTCTATGTATGTATGTACCAATATAGAATGTCAAGTAGAAAATCTGTGAAATTTCAACCTGCCAAGGTCAAGGACCAGCCAAACGGAAATCTCTAATGCACTTAACGTGTAATATCTGAGACACCTCAGGAATCAGTTTGTTATGGGAAATTATGGACATCAAATGGCCCAAGGATTTCTACTCACATTCACACACTGGCAGTCTTCTGGCATGTTCTCAAAAGTTCTTGATTATTCTAAGCATTACCCAGAAAACAACATACTTAAGAAAAACAGAAGATGACGTTTCCTCACCTGAAGTTAACACCAACAAACAATAGTAACCTGTATAGGGATGAATTGATTATTCTGAGTGATGAATTAAAAAGTCAAGTTCCTGTCGGTATTCATGTTTCATGTTCTATATCCAGGAGAAGATGGACGCTTGGCATATGAGCAGCTGGACAAGTTTCCTCGAGATTGTGTGAAAGCTGGCGGTCGTCATGAAGCTGAAGTTGCAACAGCTTTTTGATTACAAGTTCACACTGCCTAACAGCTGTCTTCACGAATGGACTTTTGAATCAAGATGGTGCTGTGACTTAGCCGGAATGTGTTTAAAACTTGAAGAGTTCTGCTGAAGCTGTCTGAGTAGATAGCAGGTTGTAGAAAGAATTCAAGTCCACTGTTTCAGTACTGCTCCCCGTTTTCTGGCCCATAGGCTAGGCTGGGATTGCATCCCATTCGGTAGATTATATTGTTCATGGCATCTGACAATAGTTTCAAAAATGTCCATCTTGCCTAATAGGTACAGGATTTTAAAATAGCCATCTTTGTATGTTTTTGGAAGTTCTTCTGTGAGCTTGAAATAGTCATGTGATACTTCCTTTGATAATTATCAAATGCTTGGTGATTTTTCTCTGTCTTGTTCTCAGGGTTGAGTGGCCCCCTTAACTACCCAATTTAACTTAAATACAAAGCACAAAGAATTTTATCAAACAAAAATTCACCTGTAGGACCTGTTACATGACACACTGTAACTTTAAGGTTTTTACTCCGAGCCTCCAGCTTTTCTTTTGGGACTTTTTTTTCCTTCATCCTGAAAACTTCAAAAGCATGCTTCCATTATGGTAAAAAAGATAGGTAGGTGAATGACAACTGCCTTATTAAGATTACACCCATACTCACTAAAAAAAAAAAAAAAAAAAAAAATCAAAAGTTTAAACTTTTTTTAAAGCAAGAGTCATTTTTGATGATGCTTGTACAATATAGGGATGTTGCTGCTAAGACAAATCAAAACCAAAAGACATGAATTCAGAAATGATTGATAACGCTCTTTGAAAGTGGAAGAATCTGGGAGTTGGAAAAATGCTAACATTGTTACATGGGGATGGTAAACATCCCCTCTTCTTCTGTAAAAATTACCCAGGGTTAGGAAGAATAGAGCCCTAAGGAATAGTTACTTCTCAAAGAAATCATTGCTAGAGATTGGACCCCTGGGTGCAGAGTTAAATTAGCAGCTCAGTTATTACTGGTTTTCAAGTAACAAGTCCATCAGAGAACATCCAGGATCCTGTAGTAGTTCTTATTCAGTAGTTTTTCTTCCTCTTGAGAGTATATAAAGTGGGATATGCCAAGATATCAAAATACTATGTGTGAGTGTAATTTAAACTGTGGAACATCAGCTGTGCTCTGAATGTGTTTGTATAAAATATCATTTAGATGTCATTAAAATATTTACATTTGATCAAGACCTTGAAAAACAACCTTTCTTTCCTTTTCAAGTAAAATGGATTGCCAGACTTCCTGGCAAGTAGTTCTTTCAACTGTGAAGTTATAAAGTATATATATATTTGTATATTTATAAATATTATATATATGCATATATCCTTCATTTTAAAGGTACATTGTACAGGCTATCATTAGTATGTATAGTCAGTAGGCTGTGTGAATTGGTCGAAATGATCCTTTTTATAGAGAGTCCAATCACAAATGTTACAGTTTTTGTTTGGCTTGTGTTTTTTGAGTATTGCATGAGCAATTCCCTATCTTTTGTATTCACGCCTGCATTTTTTGTTGTTATTGAAAGGGGGTGCTTTCAGTTTGGTGGCATTTGTACTCATCACTCTTTCAATCATATAAGTCAAAATAAAATTATTTTTGAACTACTAGTCCATGTACAGAGTCTGCTTTGTTTTTTCCACCTGCCTTTGTGGTGTTGGTATTTACACTACACACTGTATCTCATTCTCTACTGGAATTTATTCTTATTTTGAAACTCCTTTATCTGTGAGTGGGATAATATTTGACTTGTCAGAATGCGGTAAAGCTGATTAGAGGAAAAAGAGCCATGTTTCAGAGTTACTGCATCTGTGAGCAGAGACTGAATTCCATGAGTTTTTTTAAAAAAGCTTTCTTTGATCTGTGTTATATTTCGGTGGAAGCCCCTAGCTGCTTCATCACACAGACCCTTCCATTCAACTCTGAGAGTAAATATTTAGCAGATGACTCACTAAATACCAGTCATTGCCTATACTTGAGTCAGTGGTTAAAAAACAATTTTGCCTATAAGTTTGTTAACTCAACTACCCTCTACTGTTTAACTCAGCTACCCTCCTTACATAATTTTAAAGTAAAAGTATAGACCCAAATTCAACAACACTTCTTACTTTATCCAAAAAACAAATTAGTCAAATGGAAAATGTTTTTCAGGAAATTTTCTGGAGACATAGTGTTATTAAAGTAATGTGTGTGTGTGTGTGTGTGTGTGTGTGTGTGTGTGTGTGTAACTTTGAAAAGGCTCAAAGTATAGCTTTTGTTAGGGAACAATAGTTGTTTGCTAAAATCCAGATCTCTGTCGGCTCATTGATTCAAGTATTTGTTGCTTTCTTTTTATGAATAAGTATGTACCAAGTGCTGTTATTAGCTCTGGAGACAGAGAGGGCTAAGGAGAGATGAAAACCTCTGCCCTGATAAGACATATCCTAGCAAAGGAAAACAATAAGACGGCAACAGGGAATAATAACTGCACAAGGTTATAGTTGGGAGATTTGGTAGGGCAGAGATCATAGATGTAAACATAGTGGTCAGAAGATCACATTTCACAAATGGGGTGAACCTGGGGGTCTCTGCAGGAAGAACAGACGTGGCAGAGGCAAAAAAAAAAAAGCACAAAATCCTGGAAAAGGGGTATGCTGGGTGTTTTAAGATTTTTCTAGTAGGTACACTTAAAAAGTAAAACCCAGGGAAGTTAATTTTAATATACGTTATTTAATTTAATATATCCAAATTATTTAAACTTGTAATCAGTTAAAAAGTTAAAGTATTTTACTTTCTTTTTCCTACATTAATTCTTTAAAATCCAGTTTATATTTTATACTTATGGTACATGTCAGTTCAAAATACCATATATCAGAAGCTCAATAACCACATGTCACCAGTGGATACAATAGTAGACCGTAGAGAACTGTATTTCTGCAGTTGTCCGGTATTCTCCTTTATAGTCCATGCATGCACACATATGTAATAAGGGGTCCAAACATGGATTAAATGTTTTAATTGTCATTTTCTCCAGTATCATTTAGTCTAGAACAGTAACCTCTATTTTAAAAACTTTCACACATTAGTATATTTGAAAAATACAAAGTAAATGTGTTTTGTGGACTGTCCCAAATTTGGTCAAGGCGTCTAAATTTCTACTTTGAAAGTATAGTCAATAGAGTTTATCAGTAAAACTGGAGATGAGATATGAGGCAGATAAAAGCCAACAATGAATCCCAAACTTTCAACATGAACAACTGGAAGAATGGAATACCACCTTCCAAGACAGGGAAATCAAGAAGCAACCATTTAGGGGAGGAAGATCAGAGACTGTTTTGATATATTATGCCTGCGAAACGTCTTAGACGTCCACATGGAGATATAAAGTAGATGATTAAATGTATCTATGATTTAGGTGAGAAATGCAATTAAAATATGAAATTGAGGGTGTTTAGCCTATGAATAGTATTTAAAACCTTGAGGCTGGTTTTTAAAACCATTTTACTTAGGTAGCATAGCAAAAAGAAGACATAAGAACTGAGCCTTTGAGTATTCCTTTAGAGGTCATAAAAAAAGAGAGGAAACCAGCAAAAAAGTGTTTCAAGAATGGAACAAAAGAGAACTGAGAATTAGGTTTAGAATTATATGAAATTACATGAAAGTCATCGGTGACTCTGATGGGCATCTTTAGTAGAGATAGAGGGTTGAAATTCAATTTGAAGTATATCAGACAGAGAATGGGAAAGAATTAAATGGCAAGTAAGGCTACACTTTGAAGAGTGTAGCAGAGAAATGAAGGCGCAGGAACTCAGTGGGACTAGCTGAGGTCAAGAGAGTATTTTCTTTTTTGAAGGTTTACTTATTTATGCACATAAGAACTGGGGTACAAGTCAGAGGTGCAGGGGATGAGAGGATTCACCAGAGACAGAGTGGGGAGCAGAACAGGCAGATCGATTGAAATGCACTGCTGAGGGGAGCAGCAGACGAGACAGGAGAGGTCTGCTGTGCCATGGGTCAGCTCCATGACTGGGCTTCAAACTTATGCTTTGAAGTGCTGTGCTTTAATCTGTTGCGCCACCAAGGAGGACCCAAGAGAGTATTTTCTTAATAAGAAAAGGCTTGTTAGTGATCAAAGAATCTAGTTGAAATGGAAGAGACAAGAGGAGAATGACAATCTCAAGTGGCGGGAGAGAAGTTGAGTGGCATCTATGCATACATGAGAGAGCATCCTTCACAGCTGAAAGGAAGCTGAGTGCGTGGGCACAGGTAGAGATAGGTGGTTGTATTGGATACAATGGTGAGAGCTATGGAATTTCTCAATTGCTTCTTCTTCTTTTTTTTCAGCAAAATGAGATAAATGAATATTTGAAATCCGAGGCAGTGAAAAAGTGATGACATGGCAAGCAGAATAGGCACAATACTATGCAAACTCAAGGGAAAACAGCTGATTGCAAGTTGGAACAGTCACAGGAGAGTGTACAAATTCCTAATACACCTTGTTAAACAAAGGTGTATTGATGGCAATGAGCTGTGTGCATTAAAGGGAGTCAGTTTCATTTAAGCTGAGATTCTGTGCACTAGGAAAGTGAAAGGAAGTTTGACATAGTTTGTAACTAGAAGGCCTGCTGTTGCTACCCTGAAGAATTCAGGCATACATTGCTTCCCCCAGATTTGTGTATTCCATTCTAAAGTGTTGCTAAGTGATGCATTCCAGAGTTCTTGAAGATTCTGTTACTGTCAGTGGTGTAACCAACGCACCTTGACCTTTTTACTCAATGTCTAAGATTCATGTTTTTTATATACGATTTTGGAATCGGATTTCTCGGTATTTTTTAAGGCTGTATCGGAATCTCCAGAAATTCTGGAATGTCAACATTAAGGGCCTTTGCTTTGAGGAGAAGGAAGAGATTCCTATCCCCCCAGTTGAGTGTATTTTTCACAAAGAAAAAATTGTGATGCTTGGTCATGTGGTGAAGGATAACAATCTACCCATTGAGAAGAGAGCCCAAGCTGCCTATAAAATCGGACTATTGGCTTTCACAGGTATTGATTTAACCACTTATGCTAACATAGGTGTTTCAAAAGCATTTCACTTGTTATAACTCTGAAGTCAGTGATCTTCAAAGCGCTAGTCTTCAAATTCCATCATTTCTTTTGCCTAAAGTATTTGTTCTTTACCTTTGTTACCACCAAAAATATGATTACTTTGTCCTTTTTAAAAAAGTGTTCATCCAGTAAGTTACTAAATACTGCAGTTTTTATTAAAAGTAGATATCCTGAAAATACCTATTGAGTTTTCATTATCAGAAAAAATATGAAAGAATCTATACAGAGTTGATGTTGATATATTTCTCACCTAGTGATATTCCAACACAGAATAAACTAGACACTTTTTAATCTTGTAAAAATGCATTGCACAGGAACTAGCCGAAAAATCATTAACAACTTCATGCTTTTACAACACCTATTAGGAATACCATTAAGTGCATCAGGGAAAAATAACTATTAATGTTTATTAATGAAAAGGATAAAGTGGTTAAATAGTTAAACATCTAATGATCCTCTAATTTCAGACTACGTATCAAAATTTTACAGTTAGTCCTGAACTAGTCAGAAGCTATGACTTGTAGCGTTAAGGTTTATAGATTTTTTTTTCTAATAAGAAAATGAGTGACTTAGATGAAATTGGATAGATTACATCTTTCAGAAGAATGGTAGCCATGAGAGAAGCCATTTTCTGTCTCCTAGGATCAAGGTTCTTAGGTGCCATAGACACAAAACATAGAGAGAAGACAAGAAACTAAGGTGTGTGTGGGGGGGGGGGGGGAGGTAATGGTGCCCTATGTGAGGAAGTCTCAGTTTCTGGCGAAGCCCTATCCGCTCCTGTGAACACTAGCTGTGCTGATGGGGAGCAAAGGTCTTATGCCTCGGCTTCAGCTAATGTTTTAACAGTCAATCAAATGTTCTTGGGAGCATGGGACTATGGGAGTGCAAGTAACCGAAATCTAAACCGGACCGCAACCCCAAGGCCTAGACTCTGCCCAGGGATGGCAGCTGTGCCTCACTGTGCAAATGCCCCTCAGCCAGTGCTTTCTAGACTGGTAACTAGTTCAGAGTTTGAGCTCTGAACTAGAAAGAGCTGAGTTCAGGTATATAACCGCAGTCAGTAACCAAAGCAAGGGAAACCTTGTAAGGTCACATAGGTCCCATGGGGTGAGAAAGGTGTGAGGGGGATGGGATCACAATAGTCACCAATACATGAAAGACCTCTCTCCTCTTCTCCGTGAGACCCCAGCTTTTCACCTCAGATTTTGGTTTCCTCTAGCTGTAATACTCTGATATTTCTCCAAGTACTGAAGACAGAACAAAAATGAGTCCATGAGGGAGGTTTGCTACATGAACAAAATCAGGTTTTATTTGCCTTGAAATACTCACTCCTCATGCTCATTAAAAGAACCAGGGAGGAGCGGTTAGCAGGCGGGAAGCTTCCAGTTTATCCCTTCTTCTGGACACACTTCATCTTCACAGCAGGGATGTGGGCAGGGAAGATAGGAAAATGGAAGTATTCCTCAGCCCCCATCACTGATAAGATACGCCAACAAGATAACTCAAATGTGACTAGTTACTCCATGTGCCAAATACTTCTGGAAATGCAAATGCTTGTTTTACAGGAGGGCCGACTGCTGGGAAATTTGCTTTCGAGTACATGAAAGAAGTAGCTAACTTGCTAAAACAGCAAGACATGACACCAAGAACAAAGATCCTGTTTCTCCAGAGCGTGGCATGTTGGTGTTACTTAAACCCTGTCAGTCAGAGAAGAGCCAAGCGCCTGCAATTTATTAATATTCTCATTGAGATTTTTTATCATAGAGATGACTCCGCTGTCCAAAGTGAAACTAACAGCAGCCTCCTCATTAAATTTTGGGTTTGCTATGTTCTGTCTGTCATGACGTGCAATAACGTGCCTTGCATGAATGAGCTTAAAGAACACGCCCATCTGAAATGTCACTTGCAAATGTTGGCCTCTGAGAATTGGTCTGGATGGTCTGAGAATTTTGCCGAGGTGCTGTATTTCCTAATTGGTTTTCACAGGATTTAAATTCTCTAAATCTAGTTATCTGATGCAATTGTCTGCACCACTTTATACTACCCGCAAAAATGGAAATAAATTATAAATGTCAGTACATTCTTCTGTGTTTTCTTTACGGGATGGAGACATTCTCCATAAGATTGCACAATCCAATTTACTAAAGGTATGACTGTTAAAACACTCTCATGGAAAAAAGCTCATAAAACGAGAATCAGTGTGGCAGGAGCAACAGTGATGGGGGTGATTAAATGACATGAAGTCAAGGCACCCCACAAAGCCGAGTTCTAAGCAAATGCACATCCTCCTCACTCCCAGCAGTGGATATCACTGCCTCACCTGTAACCATTCTGCTCTAACCCTTCCATGCCAACCTTCCAGAAGCTGTGTCTTCGGCTAAGATAGTTTTCTGGCTACCAGAGTGTGATCCAGGTACAAACGCTTGGGCATTCACACTTAGTGGGAGCAGCTAACTCCTGCAGCACAGTGCTGAGTGGAGAGCTCGTGTGTTCACACACCTAAGGGCAACCAAGAGCTCTTAGGTTTTCCTAACAAAGACTTGCCCTCTTCATGTTTTGTTTGTTGGGAAGAAAGTAACCAAAACCTGCTTTTGTTTCTTAGGTTGCCCTGCATCATGAGAAAAGAAAGCTTAATTTCAAAAAAGTACTCCTGGAAAAATACCTCAAGGACATACAATATTTTTCTAGTGATGTTAGCTGAATTGTGCGCTTTCAACTTTCACAGGTTGGACCTGACTGAGCTGTACTTTAGTGTCACCTTTCATTGAGAAGCGTATGAAGCTTTGTGGGCCTCAGTTGTGAATTTTATAGGAAAGTTATTAAGGATACTATTCACACCCTGTGGATATGTGCGGGTCTTGGGGAATTTTTCTCAAATCTTAAGCCAGGAAAAACTGATCTGCTGAACAACTGTGATTTAATCTTTGGAGGTTTTGTGAATTGTGTGATACAGTTGCTCAAACTAGAATTCAGTTTACAATGTTGGATGAGGGACTGGAAAGCAATAGTCATTTAGACATTAGGGCACCGTCAGAAATTACTATTACTAGGGCCTTCCTTGGTGGCCTAGAGGTTAAGTCTCAGAGCTATCACTCTGATCGCCTGAGTTCAATTCCTGGTCAGGGAGCTGACCCACATAGGACACAGCAGGCCTCTCCTGTCTCATCTGCTGCTTCCCACAGCAGTGTATTTCAGTCGACCTGCCTGTCCCAGTCTGTCTCTGGTGAATCCTCTCACCCCCCCCCCAGATCTCTGGCACCCCATTCTTCCATGCAAAAATAAATAAATAAATCTTTTTCAAAAGATTACCTTTAAAAAAATCCTTTGTCAATTAATTTAAATTTTTCTCAAAGTAATATAATAAATATAGTTTAAAAAATCAAATAACACAAAATCTGATGAGAAATGAGCGTCTCCTAACCCTCCTGCAATTCATACTCCCAGAGATATTTGAATTCTTCTTTGTTTTTGTCTTCCATTTATTTTTTATTGCAGCAGCATTGGTTTGCAATATTTTATAGGATTTAGAGATAGAGAATCTCCCCTTTTATTATCATACCACATAAACCACCAAGACACCCATTGGGCTTCCTTCCCAGTTTTCTCTCTACCTTCAATCTTCCTTTCTGAAAGCCTCAATTCTACCATCACAGTTCTAGGGTTTGTTATTAGTTTTGCTTTTCGTGACCCTTTGTTTTATTTCTCTATCTTCCATATATGACACCATCAGTTGCTTGTATTTCTCCTTATGCTTTTATTTCACCTAGCATGATCCTCTCTAGTTTCATACATTGTGTCACAAAGGAGTTTTATCTTTTTTATAGTTGAGTAATATTCCATTGTATATATATACCATACGTTCCTGATCCACTTAGCTGTCTTTGACAATTTTTGTTTTTATAACTGGGCTAACATTTTAATTGTTCTGATATTTACCTCCATTTTTTTAAAAAAGATTTATTTATTTATGCATACAGAACCGGGTTACAGGCCAGAGATGCAGAGGGTGAGAGGATTCACCAGAGACAGAGTGGGGAGCAGATAAGGCTGATCGAGGAGGTACACTGCTGAGGGGAGCAGTGGGCGGGTCAGGCGAGGTCTGCCCGCGCCATGTGGTCACCTCCGAGGCAGGCGGGGATCGAACTCATGTGGAAGTGGCTTAAGCTTCTTAGTGCAGTGCTTTAACCTACTGTGCCACCAGGGAGGGCCTTACCTCCATTTTTTAAAAATAGTTCACATGGACACATATGCAGAAAAAGAAAAAATCCTTCCTCCTGCCCCCTAATTTCAGGTACTTTTTCTTAATAGGACAGGTAAGAAAAGTCAAAGTATGTGTACTGCATAAAGACTAGTCCATACATTTCCATAGTTTTATTTGTAGTAACCAGAATGTCTGTCAACAAAGTAAATGGATAAACAAATTGTGGTCTAGCCATAGGATAGAATACTACTCAGCAATAAAGTAATGTAATTGGAATGGAATGGAATGGAACAGCATGACCAGTCTTGATGTTAAGTAAAAGGAGCCAGGTATCCACCATTTAAGTAAGTAAAATTTCCATGAGAAAGCAGATTATTGACACAGACACTCTAATATTGTTCTTAAATCTACTTGCCTTCTACTTCCTCTCTTACTAGAATTGTGTGGTAGTTATCAATTAAAACAAAGTGATTGTTTGTGATCACTAAGCCCCGTCATACACGATGATTACATTTCCTCTTTTGTACATCTGTTTTCTCTGGGATTTGTGGATTTTGTCTTAGTTTTCTGTATATATGGTGTCACAAAAGACAAGAGTTTTATCTTTTATAGCTGAGCAATATTTCTATTACTCAGTATTATTTGTATACACTGAGTCATATTTATATAGGTGAGTATATTTCCATACTCACCTCTACTGTGATTTGGCTTCTGTCAATACATGCTGAGTTATTGTCAACTCTGGTGTCTTTTGAAGATAACCCACTGCCATGGAGTGCTCTCACTCCAGTCTGGGTCTCCAGACAGCTAACAAATGTGTTAGGGAATACTAACACGTTAGACACTGCTTCTTATATACAATTACTTCCCCTTTTCTGGATCAAATATTTGTACACCAACTCTTAGCCTTCTTGTTTGACCTGATCACCTTGTTGGCTAAAATCTAGAATTCAGCTTCTAGATTTCTTGAAGGGAGCAAAGTAGGCAGGGTGCAGTTTTATAAACACAGCAAAGGACCCTAACTAGAATCTATTCTTGCTTCAATTTCTTTTGGGGACAACATCTAATCCATAATATGGTTTTTTTTTTTTTAAAGATTTTTGTTTATTTATGCATACAGAAATGGGATACAAGCCAGAGGTACAGGGGTGGTGAGAGGATTCACTAGAGGCAGAATGGGGAGCAGAACAGGTGGATCAAGGAAGTACACTGCTGAGGAAAGCAGCGGGCGTGTCAGGAGAGGTCGGCTGCACCCTGTGCATCACCTCCAGAGCAGGGTTTGAACTTGCACTGAAGCAGCTGCAGGTCGCTTGCAGTGCTGCGTCATAACTCCTTGCACCATCAGGGAGGGCCCCATAATATATTCTTAAGGGGACTGTCAGTCAAGGTATCCTACCCATTGTGGGGTGGTATTTAAGCCAGGTTTCACACATAAGGTTGTCCGACGGACTGACTTTCTGCCATTTTCCTTTAAAATACTCCATTGAATTTTTAAAACAAAACTCTAAGTTCTTAGATTCTAATTGGCAGGTTTGACTGACCTCAGACCCTGACTCCTGGGCATTTTCATTGAGATATGCTGACATTTGATATACCTATTTTAAAATTAGATTCATCTGGGCCCTCCCTGGTGGCGCAGCGGGTTAAAGCACAGCACTGAGAAGCTAAAGCCACCTCTGCGTGAGTTCGATTCCCGCCTGCCCCGGAGGCGACCACATGGTGTGGCAGACCTCTCCTGGCCCGCCCGCTGCTCCCCTCAGCAGTGTACTTCCTCAATCTGCCTGTTCTGCTCCCCACTCTGTCTCTGGTGAATCCTCTCACCCTCCGCATCTCTGGCCTGTACCCCAGTTCTGTACGAATAAATAAATCTTAAAAAAAAAAATTAGATTCATCTTCTAAAGAAAAGACTTCCAAATTCTCCATCACGAGGGTCAGTTCTGAGGTGCTAGAAACTTATTCATCAACCCAAGCTCCTTCTTGAAACCCACCCCTAATAATTCTCCGACATAGCTGGGTAACCAATCTGCTATCTCACAGAAATTTTACTTATTTAAATGGAAGCAATTGGGGCCCCTTGCTGGTGGTGCAACATGTTAAAGCATAACACTGTGAATGAGTGTGATCCCCGGCCAGGGAGGTGACCCACTTGACACAGCAGATCTCACCTTCCCCACCTTCTGCTCCCCTCAGCAGTGTACTTCATCAGTCACCCTGTTCTGCTCCCCACTCTGTCTCTGGTGAATCCTCTCACCCCCTGCACCTGATCTGTATCCCAGTTCTTGTATACGTAGACAAAGAAATCTTAAAACATAAATAAGTGGAAGCAATTTTACTTAAACGGACATATACAGTGGGTACTCTTACCTGGCTCCTTTTACTTAACCTCAAGACTGATCCATGCTGTGATTCCAGTTACATTACTTTATTGCTAAGTAGTATTCTACGCAATGGCTAGGCCACACTTTATTTATCCATTCACTTTGCTGATTGACATTCTGGCTATTCCAAATTAACTATAAAAATACATGGACTAGTTTTCATGTGGCCCATACTACTTTCATTTTTTTTTTTCTTAATACCTAGGAGTGAAATGGCTGGGTTATCTGGGATGTGCATTGAAAATCTTACTGAATATTTCTATAGCCTTTGTAGCATTTAATATTGCCACCAGCGGCAGAGTTCCATAACTCCCCTCCTTCACATTTGGTGTGGTCAAGTGTTTGTTTTTGTAAACTTTTGCCACGCTGATAGGTAACTAGTAGTGTCTCTCCTTAGGTTTCATCTCTGTCTCAGGACAGTGAGAGTGGGGTGTGAAAGTGGTGGTCACTTATTGGGTTTTCAGATCAGGATAAATTTTAGTTGCTCAGTGTTGTTCTGAAGGGCTACCAGTGGTACCAGTTGTTCAAAATGGGCTCCCCAAGCATCCGGGTCCAAATTTATACTTCCCCAAAGACCAATAACCTTGACATCTTTCCATGTGTTTATTTGCTATTGGTGGATCTCCTCTCCCCCACTTAAAAAAGTAGGTTATCTGCTTATTGAATGTCTAGAGGTCTATAAATGAATGCATGTATATCTTTTGCTGGGTATGTTTTGCAAATATTTTCTCCCAGATCTGTATTTTCCTTTTAAGTCTTCTCAAAAAGACTTGATTTTTTAAAAAGAAATTTATATGTTTATGCATAAAGAATTGGGGTACAGGCCAGAGGCGCAGGGGTGGTGAGAGGATTCACCAGAGACAGAGTGGGGAGCAGAATAGGCCAACTGACGAAGTACACTGCTGAGGGGAGCAGCGGGCGGGCCAGGGGAGTTCTGCTGTGCCATGTGGGTCACCTCCCGGGAGGCCAGGGATCAAACTCATGCTGACTTGACTTTAGCTTCTTAGTGCTTTAACCTGATGCGCCACCAGGGAAAGCCCTGAGCACAACTTTCTTTCTTCAGACACCCGCAGCTGAGGTATCCAGTTACTGCAGACTAGCCCTATTTAAGAGCTCATGGCCACCTGGTTTTCATACTGGACAGCACAGATATTTCTAATGCCTCATAAAGTCTTACTGGAATGTTGCTTTTTTCTTATATATTTTCCATATATATATATTCCATATATATATATATATAAAGATACACACACATATAAATGATAAATGATGCTTTTTATACATACATATCTATTATATTTACATCGTTTTCCCCCCTCAGGTATAGAGCCCATAGGATTTCCTCCCCAGTTTGCCCATGCACCATCACCTCAGTCCTCTGTGCCCCTCCCTCCCACCTTCCAGGAACTCTCCCTCCCCCTCCCCTGCAGGATGGCTCTGGTTTATAATTATCTGTCTTTATTTTGTTTTGTATTGCTGGACAGCGTTGCCAAAGGTTAACAAAAGGCTTTCATTTTTAAAATATTTAGTTCAGGCAGTGAAGGAAAGATCTTATTCTCCACAATATCACTGTGGTATATATGTCACTACAGATAAGAAAATCAATGCTTGAAGGATGACTTGAAGCTTGATATTGTTCTTTATTGCCAGTTGCTACAAAGGTATTTAATCCCACGGCTGTATACTTCACAAAACTCCCCTTTATTCTGTCCCTTTCCTTCTTGTAACAGGACATACAGGAACTCCCTCATTAATTTAACCCTGCTCTTCTCATTCCTCCAATACCTCTCCTGTATACTATATGTGAAATATGTTTCAGAACCCTTAGGGTCTGTCTCTTCACTGGAACTTTAAACTGTCCCCTACTTTTTCCAAAGTTCTATCACCATCCATCATTTTAAGCTTTCAACAACCAACCAGTCCTTGACCTGGCTAACCTGATTCACTGGGGGAATGTTGGAAACCGGATTCTTCACTACACAAACTAATACAAAAATATCTAATATCTGAACATGGGGGTTCAGAAATCAGTAACTCCTAGTGATCTTGGGCTCCAAGTAAGTTTGGCAGCTAATGCACCTCAGCTATCTCAGTCTGAGGATGATAAAATTTCTCCTTGTTCCTTCCACAAGCACAGAGGAATGGAAATAATACAATCACAGAAAAATGAACATTGTCTACAGACTTCTTATCACCATTTTTCTAAGACATACACACAATGCTCAATGGGAGAATGAAGTTTATTTATAATACACACAAGTCATGTCTGACAACTGAGAAAATGCTATTTACATAAAACTTTATAGATTAAAAATACACAGTATTTGTATTTTAATACAACAGGGACCCAAGGATTCAAACAAGGAAGTCTGATTCCAAGTCTGCATTTACAATTATTTACTCTGCTAACAAAAAACTTTAGTGGAGGTAAACTTCGGCAGTTTATGTCTCAAAAGTCACGTGTTAATGGGTTTCATATACAGGGTTTTGCATCCGTAGAGGAAGATACAACTTCTTCAGCACCTGTACCAGTTTCTGAGTCTTCCACTTCAGAATCCTCCCCAGTTTCCTCTTCGGAATCAAATTCCTGACTATCCGGTGATTCAAAGTTAGCCAGAGGTTCATCACTCAGTCTCTTTTAAAGAATAAAACAATAATTTATTGCAAAAACTTTAAAATCCAAGTCCACTACCAGTAAGCTGATTATTAACTGAGCCTCAAAGTTGTAAGAAAGCTCTTTTCACAATGTTTCTCAAACAGTTACAAACTCACATACAGTTATTATATATATCAAAGTATCTCTGCCATGCTAGATCCTATTTCAACAAAATCAGTTTAATAATTTTTCTTGGTGTGTTACGGCTCTCACAGTGATTCAGTGTACACTGATTTAGCAGTTCCCAACCTATCTATAGAAGGATCAACTCCTTCTGGGGCAGTTAAGAAAGCAATGACAGTACTTGCATGTGAAAACCAAATATTAATTTGGGTACAGCTCTAAAGTAAAATGTAGCAATCCAGTACAAGTTTTGATTTGAAAAGCTTCCTTCCTATCCACAAATGATATTTTGCAAACATGAATTAGTTCTAGCTTTTCAGGCCAAGACTTGTAAAATAACAGTCATCAGGCTCATGCTTATAAGCAAGCTAGCAACCTCTCATTTTTAAAAGTTCTCTATAACCACCAAGCATTTCCAGGACACCCAATAACATGTCACAAATGATTTTAAGGTTAAATTAAAAATTTTTCAATAGTGAAAAATTTTCCATTATTTTCAGGCAGTTCATTCCTTTTTAAGTCTTTACAAGAAAGTCTTTTTTTTGCTTTATGAAAGTTAGACTGTAGTATTACTGGGCTGTCATCCTCTATACGCACGTCTGTCAACTTCCCACCTGCTATGTCTCATCATCTTATGACAAGCCCACAAAGCAGACACTCCTACCCCCATTTTGTAGATGCAGAGAACAATGACCTGACAGAACAAGTAACCTGTCTGATTCAGCAAACTCAAGGGTGCCAGATAAGGAGCTAAGACTCAAACCCAGGAGTCTGAGTAAGTTCTGACTGCTCACACTACTGCCTCGATTTTTCGGAAAAAGATGGTTTTAAGCCGAGTAAATGTTAGAACACCTACCTCGATCACCTCTGCCATGTACTGCACATGCTGCGCTACTTCTGCCAATTCTCTATTCTCCTTCTTCAGGCGGGCAATTTCACTGTCTTTCTGTTCAATTTCTTTATGAAGCTACACGACAGAAGTAAAGCTCAGGATTCCATAGAGTCGCTAGGCCATCTACCAACTTACATGCCTCCCAGGAAGAAATGGACAGACACATTTAGAAGGAAGTTCCTAACAAGGAAGCTGTCTTGAGTGCTGACGCCCAGCACTGCTGCCATTCTGCTCACAGGGGCCTTCCTAAACAAACTGTGTGTGGACCGACGCTCAAACTAGTTTACACTGCTCCAACCAAATATGATAAGCAGTAGAAGGAAGATAATCCTAGAACATTAAAGAGTGCCACCACCTATATTCCGTACATACTTTCTCATTTTCCTTAAGTGCTTCATAGAGAGCCTTCCTTCGTTTTTCTGCCACTTCTTTCCAGTATTGAGAAGATGGATTTTCTAAAATAAATTAATGTAACTTTGAAAGACATTACTGTTATATGTTGCTGTAAAACCCCAGTAAGCTTTTTTATTTAAAAAAAAGTATAATCTTTGTATTACCCACATCCCTCAGTAATGTCTATTTTTAAAGATTCAAGTTAGAAAGCCAAATATATTCTTTGCTCTTGATTTCTCCCAACATTTTACAGATTTCAGTCCTTTAGCAAGTCTCAATATATACAATGAATACATATCTACCTCCCACCTTGATTGTTAAAGATATATGCAATGTTTATTATGTGTTTGTACTTTTTGTCTGTTAATACTGATATTTTT